TCCAAATCAGAAAAGGTGGTTGCAATCAGCAATATTACTGCATGGGCCCCTCTGTCATGCAGCTGAGGATGCTAAGCCCAAAGTTAGCTGATTTTGTGGAACTGAGGGAACTGCACTGGATTTTAGGCAATAAAGGTACACTAGAGATATGGGACCAGGAATACCTAAGAAAGCTTCACTCATTTAAAATCCATCAGATATGACCATGGTATGTGCAGTCATTAAACAGGACTATTGTGGATGTGTCTGTGGCTGAGGCATCTCAGAGAATAGTAATTTTTTCAGTGAGAATGATGCTGCTGGACAGACATTTATGCTTTTCTAGGTGTATGTTTTGGTAATCCCTGATAACCAGTTCTTCTGCTGCTTTCCCTCTGTAGAGGACTTCACAAAGGGTTTGTCCCAGAGAATTTTGCTCTGGAGCCCTGAATGTCCCATCCTGGTGGAATTTTCCTGTCACTGTGGAGCCTTTGTAGAAGAAGAGTAGAACTGTGGCCATAGTGGCTGGCCACTCCTCCCCAAGGTGAGGCAAGAGTTTGTGTCCAGCTTATCTCACTGGTTGCTGAGGGGCTCATTCTCCACTGGACCTGGAGGCTCTGCCCAGCCCTTCACATCTGCCTCACATCTGCCTCAGCCAGGGCGAGGTCTCTGTCGGTGCCTGAGCGCAGAGGGAGCAGACAGGGAGACACTGGGGGGTTGGGTTACACCCCTCCATCCTCTGCCAGGCTCTGCCCTGAGGGCACTGCTGGCCATGGTGGGGCCTCGTGGTGGCTTCTGCTGCATGGACACAAATGGGTGCAGTGAGGGAGGTATGTGAGTTTATCTCCCCACGGGCCAGAGGTCTGCCCTCACATCTGCTCTTCTGCACTGGCTGTAACAACCATGGTTAATATGCACAAAACCACTACCACTGATAGACCTGTAATGTGCCATGCCAAAAGCTGTGTGGGTTTATTTCTACAGCATGTCGAGAGCTCTGTTAATGACTTTGGTCCTACAGGTCTGGAGGAGCTGCCTTCATCAGCATTAAGTGCAAGATCCAATTTACAATGACGTCATGCATTAGCGTGCGCTCGCTTACATCAGTGGCAAGGATTTTCCACTTTACATGTGCCCTGCCAGAAGCCTCTTGGAGGTGCATTTACCTAATGAAATTGATTTAGTGTCTGGCCTGTGTTGCCTGCTAATAAAATCTTTCATACAAAATCATGATAATAAGGAATTTTATAGCTTTCATTTATGCTAATATATGCTGTTTGATTTGCTTTAGGCTATATTTTTCTAAGTATATGGAGAAAAGAAATAAAAATAAATTCTGTTCAATTGCCATATTAAAAATGAGCAACTTAGTGGAGCATGCTGTGTTTGTCACTCAGGTTTAGCCGTAGAGTTTGTGAGGAGAATCTTCTGATAAAACATTTCAGGCTTTTCTGGGAAAAAAATTTGAAACTATGATGTCAAATAATTAACTTAATCTTATTAAATACAAAGCATTTTTTTCCTCTGAATTATAACCCCACCTAAGAAAGAAAAGAAAGATTGCCATGGCTGAACACAGCTGAACTTTGCTGACAGTAGACTTTTACCTCATTTGCTTTGCATTTATTTACAGCAAAAATATAAACAAGAGATCTGGTTCTTCTCAGAGAATGCAAAACAAATTCTTACACTTCAGATGAATGACACTTTTTGACTGCTTCTTTGTATGTTTTTTCCTACAACTGTTATTTTTAGTTTGGTGCAGCGAAGAAACTGTTTACTTCCTAAGTAAACAGCAGGAGCACAATTTTTATGATTAGGAGTGCAGAACTGTAAGTAAAGAGCCTAACTCCCACCAGTTTCATTATGGAATGGAATTGTCTGTCATGAAAAAAAATGTTTTTACTCTGCACTGCAAAATGTGGTATTGATTTTAAAGTCTCAAATAAATATTACCTGCACTTACAGGGAAATTATCTAATGAGTGTTCATTTTACATTAGATAGCATAATGATTGAAAAACTGTTCAGTAGTAGGGAGGAGATAATACACTTAAGCCTTAAAAATACCGTGAAGATCTAGAAAGCTGTTGTACTGCAAACAGTGCTTCAGGATAAACCAGAATTTTGTTTGGAAGCAAATTCATAGTCTGTTGAACACAGCAATCAGATTTTGCTTCCAGTTTTATTTCTTCCATCTGCCTGAATTAGGGAGAGAGCATGAATGTAAGCAGAAGCAGCATCTTGTTGCAGCCCACTCGTCAATGCTGCCTCATGCAGTCTCTGAAGTGCAGGTACTGGCACCTACTCCAACAGTTTTAAGGATCTCTTTTCATTGTCTTTGTTTCACTGATTCTCTCTGTTCTCTTCTGCTTGCTCCAGTCTGAGACTCCACCTCGAGTACTGCATCCAGTTCAGGGAAATCCCAACAAAAGAAGGACCTGGACCTGCAGGAACAAATCCAGAGGAGAGTCATGAAGATGAAGGGAGGCTGGAGCATGTCTCATATGAAGACAAGCTGAGAAAATTGATGTTGTTCAGCCTGGAGAACAGAAGGTTCTGGAGAGGCCTTGGAGCAGCCTTCCAGTACCTAAAAGAAGCCTAGTAGAAAACTGTAGAGACTTTTTGCTCAAGGGCATGCACAAGAGGGAATCACTTTAAATTGGCAGAGGACAGGTTCAGATTATATATTAGGAAGAAATTGTTTACTGTTTATGAAGCAGTGAAGCCCTGGAACAGAATGGCCACAGAAAGCGTGGATGCCCCATCCCTGAAAGCATTCAAGGCCAGGTTGGATGGGGTTTTGAGCAACTGGTTGTAGTGGAAGTTGTCCCTGCCCACTACAGCAAGTTTGGAACTAGGTGATCTTTAAGGTCCCTTCCAAACCAAATCAAACCATTGTGTCATGCTCTGATCTATGCAGCCTGTGAATCAGGGGAATATATCTGCCCCCTGTGCACCAAGGCCTGCCTCCTCCACTTCTTTCTCCTCCAGTTCCTTGTGTCCAAAGCACACCTGAGCTGGTTTCCACCCCTCCTGATGAACCTCTTTTGAGTTTCTGCAGGGTGAGGGCAGACTCTCTTGACCATTCAGATCAAACCTAACATGGTGCCTTGATGGTTAACCCATCGTTTGGTGATGGTGTGTCAATGAAGGATTATAAAATAATCCAGTCAACAGGGAGGGAAAACTCCAACATGTAAGTGCTGATAAAACATAACTGGCTTAATAGTTGACTGGTCCTTCTCCCTTCCTTTTCCTCCTTCCAGAGACACACTTGTGAATACACTCCAAGATGTGAAACCTGTTAATGTTTAACCTCTTTTATTTATCTGGTTTTATTAATCTCTCAGCCTTCCTCCAGGTCTTTCTCTTTCTTGTTCAGAAGTGACTCTGTCATGTTGAGTAAATAGCAGCTTTCTTGACAAAGTGCAGAGCACTAGCTGCTGCTAAGGTATGCTTTATTGATTGCTGTTGATTTTTACAAATTAAGTTTACTTCTACTGCTCCTGACATTTAGTGGTAACTTAAATGTTTCATTAGTGAGGCAAAATTGAGGTTCATGAAAGCAAACCTTACAATACAGTTCTGCTTTCTACAAGTTTATTATCTAAGAGCTCCAATGGAGGGAAACTACTTTATCAGATGCATTGAAAAGAAAACAGATGCAAGAGGTTAATTATGTTGCATTGCCTTTTCAAGTAGAATTTAACTTCAGATGTTTCAGTCAATGTTGTAAGTATTGAGCTGAGGCAGAGTCTGGGCAGCAAGGCAAGCTGACCAATGAGTACACAAAAAAAACCAATAAGCTTGGTCTTAGCTTGGAGATCATTAAGGGAACTGAGAAATCGTTAAATCTAGAAATGGGACCTAATGGAAGTCAATGAGAGAACAACTATGGACAGTTAATGAGCAGCACTGCATTATGTTCTCACCTCTTCAGAAATAAATAATACTTGAATTTCTCTTTGAACAACAGTAAGTGTAGAATGTGAAAACAGCAGGGGGAAAAGTAATCCTTTGGGCCATCATTTCAATAAATTATTTCTGCAAGCCTTAATTAATTATCGGAGTAACTTGTGAAACAAGCTCATGTGAAACAAGCTCATGTGAAACTATGGCACCATAAAATGTCTGTTTAATAGTTAGCCCCAAACCACATCTAGATTACCTTGAAACTGAAAGTTCATTACCCAGAATTACTGAAAAATCAGCAGCATAATTTCATTGTGAAGAACACAGGTTGAACTCTGCATGAGAAGAGCTCCACTCCAGAAATGCTGGTGAGCAATCTTCATTAGGAACAACACTGATGTAAGCAGAGTCATTAAGCCTCAGGTAGTCTGTGCATAGACAGGTGTGTTATTGCTGCACTTCTGAGTGGTAACTTCTCATTATGTATTCCAAAAGGAAAGCAACAGGACCGCAACAGGGAGGAGTGCTGGAAAAGTGAGGTGTCTCTGGCTGACCTTAAGAGAGAGCTGAGCTTTTCTGAGCATTCCTGAATTCCTGCCACTCAGCCCTGCATCAGGTGGCACTCCCCAAAAGGGTCCCTTACCTGAGCTTAGCTGTGTCAAGTGAGTCAGAGCCAGTGGCCAGTCCTGCAGGTGTGTGCTAGCCCCGGTAGAAACTGAAATATGTACGTATTTACTGGGTTATCAACTGTTTATCAGTAACAGGCTTGTTGCCAACAGTTCAATAACTGCTTTATCAAACTAGGAGTCTTTAAAAGAAAATAAAGCCTTTTAATAGCATCACTATATATATCTATATATATATTAGTGTTTTTAGATAGAAGGCTTACATTCCATTAGCACAAATAACTGTTTTAAATCTTACCAATACCTCTGCGAGGAAGTAAATTATTGCTAATTCCTGGTCAGATTACAGTTATCTTGTCTGTGATGTATGTCCCCCCAAAATAGATTTGCCTCTTCCTTGCATGAGAGCCCCAGGCTGCCAGAGGAGGGTGTTTTGAAGGGGCTGCTGAAGGAAGAAATGCCGTTAGTGGTTCCGGGAAGCAATAAGCACCTTCATGAAAATAACTCAAGTCCCCATCCTTAATCCCTGCCTATCCTTTTTTATCTGATGGACTCAGCGAGGGCTGGAAGATCACAGTGTGGCTGAAAACAAAAGGGAGTTAACAAGATGTGACCGGCCGATGGACAGAACAATAGGCGAAGCCCTGCACGCAGCCTAGCCCAGGTGTGCCCATGCCCAGGTGCCATGCGGCTGGCGGTGACTCTGCTGTGCTGCTGGGCGCTGGCGGGGCTGCCCCGGGCCGCCGGCTCCTGCCCCTCGCAGTGCAGCTGCGCCTTCCACAGCCTCGGCGACGGCACCAAGGCCAGGTACGCCGGGCGCTCCCGCGGCGGGCTCGGGGGTGGGTCTGCTCCTCTCCGAGGATGCTCGCAGCACAAAATATTGTCTCTGCACTTTGTGGCCATTATTTTTTCCAGTTGCTCCCCGCTCTAGCTATATTTGCAGAGGATTAGCTTCTGAAAACACAGTAAGCTGATTTCAGAGAAAGCGTTTGGGCATCTCCTCTGTAAGAACAGGAGTGACATAATTATTGCTGGTGTAATGGCAAAAAGGGAATAAAATTTAAACTATATATATATATATATATATATATATATATATAACCTTTAACCTTTCTGCTGAAAATTCTGGTTCTAAAAGGTTTTATTCTGCTCTGCTGGTTCCTTGTTAAAGTGTGACTAGATTTGATTTCAGTTGTGGTACAAACCCAACAAGGATTTGAAAATCCTTCAGCTGGTGATTTTAGGCATAGCAATAGACTTTAGACAAAAATGAACTAAAAAAACACAGTAACAGCAAAAAAAAAAAAATCAAAAGAAGTAAATTCTCAGACTGGAAACTTTCCGTTAAAAAAGAAGGCAAGACCAGAAGGACACCCATCTTTGAATGCAAAGCCATTGAACATGCATTTCTCTGGAGGACTGTTATAAAAGAGTCCTTCTGAAGGGTAGGCACAAAGTATCTGCCTTAAAGAAAATAGAGCCCATATTTTCATAAGGTGTGGTTCACAGCAGAGGAGATTTTGTGACAGAGATACAGGATTTGCAAAATCCTTTGTAATAAACTTTTTCTAGATTGAAATATTTTTTCATTACTGAAATGAGATATTTTTGAACCCCATGAAATAGCTCTACTTTCTTATCATTTTTATGGTGCTATAGATTTAATACTAGAAACTTTCACAGTAAGAAGAAGCATGGTAGAGACACAAGTAGCCTGAAATTGCTAAAAGGAAGTGCAACAGCGTGAGAGCCAATTATTTTTCCATAAATGTCACAGTTCCCAGGGGAATTTCCTCTCAGGGACTGGAAAAAGCTGTTGTACATTTTAGTAAGATACATAATGAAGCAAATATCTATTAGTCCCTTAAGGATCATAATGCCACCCTTTTTTCTGCATTATGATTCATATTTCTCACCAGAAGGAGATTATCCCATAGATTAAATGTTTAATGCTCACTGACATAATTTAGGGACACTGTTAGAAGCATTCTGCTTTACTGCCATGGTCTTTCTGTTAGTAACATTTTGTGACATGACTACACAAAGTAAAATGTTTTATTTAAAGTGGTTTCTGAATTTTTCTTATTTGGTAGATTTTTATCTTACTCAAATCTCAGCCTTCAGCAGAGGGTGGGCAGGATTTAATGCCACAATAAAAGTGTTGGGTGAGAGTAATGTACTGTGTTTTGATTACAAATTAACAATTTAACTGTAGGCTCAAATAGCATTTAAATCTGGGAAGTCTGCCTGAGCAGTTCAGCAATGTTATATATTTTTGTTGATAGTAGAGGAATAATTGCTTTCAGCCAAAACCAGCCTGGTTTTGACAGCTTTGTAATATTCTGTTTATGGAGGCAGTGTGATAGGAACACGTTACCTGACTGATCACATTCCATTTCTTGTGGTGTCTTGTTCAGTGAGTAGACTGGAACATGCCCATCCAACCTCTTACCTTTTGCAGGTCCTTGGTGCTTTGTTAAAGAACTTGCCTTCCTGTACTTGCTGATAGGAAAATTAAAATTCATCTGAGAGACTTGTTTGGTCTCCCTTTGTTTCTCATGGCTCTCTACAATCCCAAGTCACAATTTTTTGTATGAAGGCTGCAAAATGCAGCACAGGCTTTTTATGCTTTGACCTTTAGAGATTAGAAATGGGGAGAAATGATTAAAACACATAAATCTGTCTTGCTTTCAGTATAGCATTTTCCAGAGAGTTAATTTTCTGTGCTTTCACTCTCAAGACTAGATGAGCCTGCAGTGCAGTGACTGCCACCATCTTTACACACCCTCCATAGTAACGCAGAGCTTACTCCAGAGTTCTTCCAAGGAGTTGTTAGCTGGCTTTCTTATCCTCATTTCTCAAACCAGAGTTCCTGTGTCATATTTAATCTATATAACTTCTTGCCCTCCCACATGTCAATAAGTCTTCTTTTTGTAGGGCTTTTGTAGTTCAATTTTATGGATCCTTTTGTTTTAACTTGCACTAGAATCCTCTGTTGTGCATGAATGTCATCATTGCTATCATAAGTACTCTAAAAAACAGATAGCAAAACCCAACAGGAACATTAAATGGGGCAGATTCGGACTCACACCACTCCAGGAGAGGCACAACACTGTGATCTCTGCAGTCAGAAGGTACATATTAATTACTGCAGGTTGATGTATTTACAGTGATGATGCAGAGATCAGCAGCAAGAAAGAAATGACAAGAAGAAATCTTGTGAAAAAGGCAGATCAAAATCTTGCATTAAAATAAGGTGTCAAATCTTTTCATAATAAAAGAAAGTCACATCTTTGCTTGTCTTTGTCTTTCCCCACCAGGACAGTGCTGTGTAATGACCCAGAGATGACCCTCCCTCCTGTGAACATCCCTGTTGATACAAGCAAGCTTCGGATAGAAAAGACAGCGATCCGCAGGGTGCCAGGAGAGGCTTTCCACCTGCTCCACAACCTGGAGTACCTCTGGATGCCCTATAACTCCCTGGGCAGCCTCAGCAGCATCACCTTCAAGGGCCTTCGTCGTCTGCAGGAGCTGAGGCTGGATGGGAACAACCTGATCTCATTCCCCTGGGAGAGCCTGGCTGGCATGCCCCAGCTGAGGCTCCTGGATTTGCACAACAACGAACTCACCTCAGTCCCCCCAGATGCTGCTCGTTATGTCAGGAACATCACATACCTGGATCTGTCCAGCAATAAGCTGATGACTCTTCCTCAGGCTCTCATTGCCACCTGGGCCAACCTCCAGGCTGTTCCCTACTTCCCCAATGACAACTCCAAGATCATCCTAGGTAAGAGAAGTGCCTGCCATTTTTGTAGGGGGCACAAATGTCAAGAGTTCCTCATCTCCTTGCAGCATTTTCATCCACTGTGGTTACCATAGCAAGTACCCTGCTATTATATGTATACAATTTCATACCCTAAATAATATGTGTACATTCATTTGCATATTAACAAACTCACCTCAGGCTCATCACACCCATCTTATTATGGCATAAATTTGATTATTTGCTTGGATCTTTGCAGCACAAAACTGGTGACTCTTGCTCAAGGCTTTTTTAGTTATTTCCACTGCCATTTTGGATAGCAATACAAATATGTTTACAGCTCTTCATCATTTGTGTGCTCTTCTCTAATAGCACTGCGTTTACAATTGACCCATTTTAAGCAGAACTAAAGAAAAGGATGGATAATTTATTATGCCTAAATTAAAGAGGAATAATGCCACGACTGAGCATAAAATCTGGGTCAGAGCTGTCAATTTGTCTCTTCCCAGAGCCTTGTATATCTGTTCACACAGAATTAAACCCTAGTCGACCCAAACACACCAGGACAGTGCTGCCTTGCAGGACAGCTATGAAGCTCCCTTCTGGTGGCAGCTCTAGGCTCCCCAGAGGTATGGCTTTGGGGTAGTTACCCATTTCTGTGTCAGGGTGTCTCACAGCTGACTCTCAGTTGCAGGATGCCCAGGTGAGGCTTTGAGCACATTTCCCAGTTCAGGGCACTATTACATGGTCTTTTAGCCCTTGTTCACTGTTCAAATCCACGACAGGTTGATGATGGCTCAGAGCTGTTGCCATCTGCTTGTACAGCCTCTGCAACCAGGTAAATGAGCCTTGCTTGGTTGTATCCTATGCAAGCTGTTACAGCTCCAGAGCTCAGTCCCCAAGGGGACTGGGTGCTAGAAGCCAGCTCGCTCTCGGACCAAGGCCGCGGGTTAGCCCCTAGCAAGCAGGGAGATATCCAGCTCTTAGTGATTAGGCAGCTCTTGTGATTTCAGCTTTGCTTGCTAGGTAGCTTTTCCCTTGGCCTAAGGCTCCAGCAGACGGTAGAGAGAGGAGAAGCAGAAGACACTGGCTGTTCCACGAGTATGGCTTTATTGTAGGGTCCGTGAAGGGTCTCAGCTCTTCTTCTTCCGAGTTAGTAGGGGTACAGTATGCTACTTTTATACCCTTGGCCTGGATCCAATCCTGACCAATGGCAAAGGTGTTAGAGTGACCATAAGTGACCAATGGTAGGGTTTAACACAATATTGCCTTACATGGCTATAGGGATAAGGTACAAGGCGGATGTCCCTGGAGACAGGAAACTTCTTTGCCGCTGTGTCAGCATTCTATTCTCCAAGGGGCCCTGGCTAAACCTGAGGGGTTTACTACAACGAGGGGTGGGCTCAGACACCTGCTGATCATCTCAGCAGAGGCACTGCAAGCTTCCTCTCACTCTGGCAAGTACCTGCTGCTCTTGGTTCCCTCGATAAATTTAGGAAGGTGAAGTTTTTAAAGCGGGGTTGCAGAGGAAAGAGATACAAGACTTAAAAAAAGATACAAAATACCACCTACAAAGCTTTTAGTGTCCTTAGCAGATGTTGCTGAAGGTTTCACTAGCATCAGGAGAGGAGCAGGTGTTTCACGATCCTGTGTTGCCAGATGCAGTAACAAGTTCTTTAAGCCAAAACTGGCAGTTTGGGATTGCCCATTTCATTCATGGCAAGACTGCCTAGATCATACTTTTCATTTTTAGAGTCAAGTTATGTGTAAAAATGTTATTCCATTCAATATAGATTAGGAGAATGTTTTATCAAGAACAGATACATGTGGCCAAAATGAGTAGTATCCAGCTATGCTCAGGTTGATTGTGCCAGGATCCTAAAAAATTCATGTCGCCATATGAGTACAATGCTAAAATTAATGCAGTAATGTACACTCCAGCTTCTAGGTCCTGTCCTGTGGACACCCATAGGAACCATGTAGATAAAATGCATGTCTCTCACAGGAGCAGGCTGGAAAAACACAGCTGCATGCTTCTGTTTCACTCTGCCCATGACTGTTTCTCATGGAGGCATAAAAAATCATGAATGATAAAAAGAGTCAGCACAATCCATTCCTTGTCTGCAGTGCATCACTGTGACTCCAGAGCCACTGCTTGCAGACTCCCTCAAGAAGAAGTAATTCCTCTGCTAAGTTGCTGGCTGACAGTCTGTGCCAAGGGTGCAAGCTTTTGCACATGAGGCCTGACCACGTGAGCCCATGGAGCTGTGCTGTGCAGGGCAGCAAAGGCCTCACTGCCTCTGTGGGGCTGCTGCTGCTCCAGCTGGAGCTGGGGCACCTGCCAGGGAACCTGGGCTCAATTGCTGTCTAGTGCATGAACTGGAAACTGCTAGAAAAATGCCACAAAACAAAGCCAAGCTGAATGTTCATTATTTACTTAGTCCCCCTTCACTTTAACATATTAATTTACAAGGACTGACCTCCTGCCAAAACCCATCACTCCCAGATCCTCTTCTAAGCCCAGGGAAGAAGATATGGAATGCACTCAGGAGATTTTTTCCACAGCATCTTTAAAACACCGTGAGGGAGTATCAGTACTGTTCCCTTCCAGGCAGGTGCCAGCCCCAGGCATGTCCTTGGGCTGTGCATGGAAAAGAGGAGTGCAGCCCCCTCAGAGGGAGCAGAGCTCACTCCTGTGGCAGGCAGGAGGCGTGGGAGCCATGCTCCTGGTTTAGGCTTCAAATGTGTGCCTGGGGTTGGATGGCATTCATATCCCTAGTGCCAGTTCTGCTAGCTAAAATCATTAGAGACCACAGCCTGGCCACAGCACAGCTGGATGTGAGCATTTGTAAATGGGATGACACAGATTTCATCAGATGCAGCAACTTCTGTTCATGGATATGCATTGCTCCAGTTCCAAATTTGCTTTTTCAGTACTATCTTCACAGGTCTATTTTTAATAATGCATATTTTTTCAGAATTGGAATTCAATGCAAACTAAGAGAGCAGAATAAAGAAGAGCAACATTCCAAGAATCTGAAACAGGAGTGTATTTTTCAATATACTTCGTTCTGTGTGTATAGCCTAAATATAGTAATGGTCTATCTACATTTTTTATATACCATAACAGGCATTGTCTTCAATTTAATCCTTAAAACATTTCTTTCATATGATCCAGTATAAATTAGCATTTCAGGAAAAGCAACTGATTACCAAAATAATGAAAATAACTTAAGAGTAACAGGGCTGGAAGAGAACTACGACAGGCAAGTAGGATCAGCCACAGCTATTGCAGGTGTGAAAAGTGGTATGACAATCTGGCCAGTATTTTAAAAAGGTCCAGTGAGAATTTTCTGGCCTGTCAGAGACTTCATAGTCTCCCCATGCCAAAAGAATCCACATGAGTACTTCTCCCATGAGTACTTGTTTTTTTCATCCTGGAACAAAATGTGTTTATAATGAATTTTTGTTTTGCTTCTTTATGTGCACAAATCACAATGTTTTCACGATATGAATAATCCTGCTTTGAACTTAAAGAATATGATTTCAGATGCAGATTTGGAGATACTTTAGCAAGTCACATTTATTCCATTCTGGCAACTGTGGGATCCATCAGACTCAGCCAGCAGCAGTGGGGGGACATTCCCCTCCCCACCCCACATACTCCTGCACAGGCAGCTCTTGCAGAGCACACTGGGACTCTATCACACTGTGTCCTGCTGAAAAATAGAAACAAAAGTGGCAGAAACAAAAGGTGCTATTGGAGCGACTTAGTGCCCTAATTTCTTTTTGACAGGTTTGCAAGACAATCCTTGGGTGTGTGACTGCAGTCTGTACGAAATGGTGCATTTCCTAAATTTCCAGTCTCCTAACATAGCCTTCATTGAGCCCAGGCTGAAATGCTTCACCCCCAGGAGCCTTGCAGGAGTCTTCTTCAGCCAGGTGGAGCTGAGGAAGTGCCAGAGCCCCGTGGTGCACACGTCTGTGGCCAAGGTGAAGACCATCCTGGGCAGCACGGTGCTGCTGCGCTGCGGCACCACGGGCGTGCCCATCCCCGAGCTCAGCTGGAGGAGAGCTGATGGGGCTCAGCTGAATGGCACAGGTGGGTTTGGTTTGGGCTTTCCTGCACACGTGCAATGAGTGAGGCAGGCCTGGACAAGCTGCAATCCACTCTTGCATTGTGATTTTCTATAGACTGTACAATAGTCTATATACTATACTTGTATGTTGATCTTAATATTATCAGATAAATGTCTTTTATCATGCACAGGAAGTTGATTTTGCTTTGTTTCATAGCGATTGTAGTGGTGAGACAAGTCAAGGGATTTTCTGGAAATCTGTTGGAGCTGAAGAAATGAAATATTTCCAACAGTAGCAATTAGCTGTCTTCAGTTAGTTATTTAGTGACTGAAAAGGATTCTCACTGAATTATTCTATATTCAATTGTATTGCTAGTCCATTAGCAAACATCTCTGGCAGAGAAATGTCTGATGTGAATTCAACTGGGATTCAGATCAGCTGTACAAGAAAGAAAAGGATGCAAACATACAGCATTACTAAAATATTAAAAGACAAAAAAAACCCCACTAAAGTGCTGAAGGATACAATACTTCAGTGGGAATGTCCCCAAGGAATCATTCCCTCTGATAGACTGACAAGCTCTCTGTGGAAGAAACCCTGACTACGTGGTCTGAGCACCTCTCCAGGGGAAGCATTCAGACAGACACTGGTTTTGTGACTGATCATGATTTCATTTCCATTCACAAGGAAGTCTGGAGCTGTAATTGCAACACAGGTCCTTTAATTTGTGGGGAATTTAGGGAAGAAACCTTTACTCTGCTGAAGACAGTTATCCTTAGCTTTTTGTGCTAGAAGTTTTCAGTCAGGACCTGAACCTTCTTGCCTCCAACCTGCCCTGAATACTCCTGTATGCTAGTCCTGGCCTGACTTTCATAGAGGATCTAAACCCAGCAGATGAAGTGCTAAGTATTGGGTCTGATGTTCAAAGGGTTCCAGGGCTCCTTGGTGCACAGAACAGGGAAGAGAGCAATTCTCTTTCACAGCAGAGGAACCATTTGTAACAAGTATCATTTCCTGGGATCTTCACAAGTCATTGCTCTGATGTGCAGGATGTGCAGGATGCAGCAGAGCTGCTCCTCATAATGATAATGTGTACCCACCATGCTGCAAACATCCCTCCTATACCTGAAACAGAGCCACCACAAAAAATAGAATGGGGTGATTTCCTGAAAGCCTGTGTTGAGTTTACCTTGAGCTACAACTGAGAATGATGTATTTTGTGCCCCATTAAATCAGACACTAGCACCTTTCAATAAAAAGCTGGCTGGAAAGATAGGTTATTTCTCAGCAATGGCAGCTTCTGTGCCAATGCTATAATGTGACTATTTGAAATGCTGGTGTTCTGAGCAGAAAGGAGTGAGAAACAGCACAGTCTGTATCTACAGGTAATTGTCATAGGTAGACCCACAGCTTCATGTTTTTTAAAATACTCATTCAGTAAATAATTAAAATGAAAAAGTAACTTCTGTTACCTTTATATTTTGCTGTCATTGGAAGAGACCCTGCTTGCCAAGGCTGGATCCTGACCCCAAGAGGGGTTGGAAGAAGTTTGCATCCTCTTCTCTTTGGCTTTCAGACATCTCCCTGGTTTACCTTTCAGCAGGAAAGGGCTGAGACAGCATGTGCCTATCCCAAGGAGGCTGGTTAAATGATGAGGGTGCTTTACCCTTCCACAAAATCCCAACTCTTTTTTTTTTTTTGCACCAATAGGAAAAGGCAATAAAAGCTAGTTTTGGTCTGCAGGTAAATCACATGAGCAAATCAACACTCAGCTATGTACATGTCCTTTGGTAGTAACCAAATGTACACCTGTGTAAGGATAAACACCTGCAGTAATTGAGCAGTAGAAGGGATCTTATCTTTCAACTATTTTTCCATATACTCTAGGCTAGTCCATGTGTGTTTGTTACAATAAAATCTCCACTGTTCGTATTTTCTTTGCCTCCACAGTCTGCATCTAATGCTCGAATAGATCATGTTGCTGCCTGCTCCTTCCACTCTTTTAAGTATTGCACCTATATAAGAATTTTCAAGCTTTTATTTTTAATGGAAGAACCTTTCCTGTTATGTTTTCTAGCTGTACATCAATTTGGAAGAAATAGCATCAACTTTTTCCCGTATATTCATTTTGAAGTCGTTCAAATCCTGATGTAATCTAATTATAGTCTTTTTCTTAGGTTTATTTTGATTTTGTAATGTTCTTGGTAGCAAGCAGAGATGAGGATTCTTTATCATATACTTTATCAAGCAGATATTTGGTGATAGATCTTAATATTTTACAAATATGGAATTAATTCAATTTACTATTGCCTGTTCATTTAACATTTTTCCTGCCTTGCAGTTCACCAAGAGATTTCCAGTGATGGGATGAGCTGGTCTATCCTGGGCCTGCCTGTAGTCTCTTACCTTGACTCTGGAGAGTACATCTGTAAAGCAAAGAATTTCCTGGGGGCAACAGAGGCCTTCATCTCGCTCATCATCACAGACTCAGAAAGCACGGATGACCCTAACTCTAGTGCCAAAGGCACGTGGAATGGCAAGGCCAGCGGGATGGAGGCAGCTGCCTACAATGACAAACTGGTGGCCAGGTACGTTATCACCACCTCCACCGTGCCCACGCTGGGGGCTGGGGCGGGCACCGGAGACAGCGTCCTCCTCCCGGACACGGCTCAGGACAGCAACCCCCAGAACCTGCTGGTGAGCCCCACCATGGGCCAGCAGGAGCCAGAGAGGATGGTGAGGTCTGTCAGGGTCATAGGGGACACGGACCAGAGCATCACCCTGGCCTGGAAGGCGCCTATGGCAAAGAACACCACGGTGTTCAGCGTCCTTTACGCCGTCTTTGGGGAGAGGGACATGCGGCGGATCAACGTGGAGCCAGGCAAAACCAAGGTCACTCTGTATGGGCTGCTGCCAAAGACCAAGTACATCGTGTGCGTCTGTGTGAAAGGGCTGATCCCCAGGAAGGAGCAGTGCATCATATTTTCCACAGACGAAGTGGTCAGTGCAGGAGGGACGCAGAAGCTCATCAATGTGGTTGTCATCAGCGTGGCCTGTGTCATTGCTGTTCCTCTGACCCTGGTGGTCTGCTGCGGAGCCCTGAAACGGCGCTGCAAGAAATGCTTTGTGCGCAAGCCCAAGGACGCGCAGGAATCGTACGTCACCTTCGAGAGCCTGTCCCCTGGGGCCAAGGCCAAGGGCGTGGAGGGAGAGTACCTGACCAGGCACACCCCTGACGAGTCCAACAGGCTGCTCTCTGCCCGCTCCAGCGTGGACTCGGAAGCCATACCAAAGATAGAGGGACAGCCCAATGAATACTTCTGCTGACAGTACCTAGGCTGGCTGTCAGCTCGCCCAGGGGGAAGGGGGTGGCTGTTCTGTGACTCTGCTCCAGCCCTGCACACCACCCTGTCCATGCTTCTGTCTCTGACACGTTCTGGAAGAGGATGCAAGAAGACAGACAGTGCCCAAGCTTTACAGAAACATGTTGCTCACACCACTTGGGGTTGGCTGCTTTGTACACAGTCAAAAGCTTCTCCGATAATGGCCTCGTTGTCCTGGACCACCTTTTTTTAGGTTTTTTTTTCTTTTTCCTGTCAAATGAAGTGTGCACACTAAGTGTAAGGACATTAAGAAACATTTCTGAGTGTGCTCTGGTTGGTATTGTTTAGGACCTGCTCTGCAGTATGCTATGTATTTTAATCTCAGCTCTTTTGATGTTCTTTTCGTTGACAAGCCAAGGGAGTATTTAGTAATTTTAATAAAAACTTAAGAAGGTGAAGATTGAGAGTCTCACCTTTTACATCCCCCATGTTTGCATGAAACATGCAGCTAGATCCTTAATAGATCACTAAATAGAGATGTACAGCAACCCTTTCTAATATGTCCAACATAATTACAACTCTATGCTCTGAATTCAGAGAAATGTGCAAAGGAGATAGAAGTGAAGAGACAAAACCCAATCCACTCCAAAAACTGCATAATAGAGAGCATTTGCTGATTGCATTTTGGGCCTAAACTCTGTTCTAAAGATATGGAACAATAGCAAAGGTCTTTCAGTATCAGTCCTAGCTGGCATTCTATGTCTGTATTGTAATTAGTAGAATATGTTTTATACCTCGTGTGCTAGATTACAATCATACAGCAGCCTACTCTGCACATTGTGTGTGGTGGTGTAATGCTTTGCAATCGTACTGGAAAACCTACATTAGACAGTTTTGCAAAAATCTCCAGCTCTGTCACTGCTGCCTGTACTCCTGGCAAAACTGATGGTGAAGGCCCACATGATCAGCCAGGTAATTGTGACCTGGTCATGGAAAGAAGTTGCTCTGTACAGAGCAGGAGAAAGTGATGTGGTGTGAGACCACTGGCCATGCACACATCAGCCATTCCTGATTATGCTCTCAGTGGTAGCAGACGCTCAATGAAGTCTTTTTGGGTTTCAAACATTTTACAAATTCAAGGACCCTGAAAAAAACCTGTCCAATATTAATCTAAATGCACTTTCATAGTCAGGGTGAACTGATCAGTCATTTAAGTTCTGCAGCTTCATTGGAATTTGAATCTGAGTGCTTATCACAAACTAATTCCCAGATGTGTAATTTTCCACTCAAGTCCCTTATGTAGTAATACTGCATGTAACATTTTTCTCTTTGTAATAAATATTATTCATGAAGAAAATTATATATGTTCTGCCAAATGCTGAATGGGAAAGATCCAGCCAAGTTGAAATGCTAAGGGATGAACCTTGCTGAATTGTTCTGAAATGTGTTTGTAAATTTATTGGAAGGACTTCCACTCACATTCTGGATGTGTATGTACAGCATGGCTTAACAAAATTCACTGGCTGGAATGGAGCCCTGTATGGATTTTGCTAGTCCTCCTTGTACAGAAGGGTTTCACTTATGTTAGATTACTTGGCCTGATGGAAAAAGCAAGTCATTTGATTTCAGCATAAATACCAGCAACAGGGATACACCACAGGAGTTTCTGATGGGACTCCCTGTATTCCTTACATTAATTATAAGGAACTTCTCTTGTATTGGGAGAATTTGTCAATCCCTGTATAAAATAACTCATGCTACTTCTATCACTGGACTGTGCAGATTTTTAGGTTTACAAGTAAAGTTTTGTAAAATTATATATTTTAATGCAACAAATTAACTGATGAAAGATGGTACGTAATAGATATATTCCCTATTTATAACGTTTAATAAAAACTTTTTAAGTTTTGTCTCAACCTGATTATATTAGTGAGGAAAAAAATGTATCAGTTTTTGTGCTGAGTTGCAAGGATTGCTGTGTGTAAGCCTGGGTCCTGCCCACATATGCAGCAGGAGCACTGGGCTGTGCAGAACTCTCCCTACCACGGCCCTGGATGGGTAAGCTCCTGAAGAACCAAGGCTGTCCTGACGTTTCCCTGTGTTGAACAGAGTGCACCTACTGCCCAAGGGCTTTGCTGTAAGTCAGGAGCTGACTGGGAGCCAGAAGAATTCACTTTTCAGCTGACTGGAGACATGAGCTGCGCCATTTGCTGCACCAGCCCTGGCGAGGAGCAGCCCTCCCCTGCTGGAGCCTTGGTCTGTGGGCTGGCTGTGGAGGAGGCACCAGCTGGGCCAGCACGGGCCCTCTCTGCTTGTGATCCATCGAGGGATCATCCTGGGACATTCACTGTGGATGCGCTCAATTTTACAGACTCTACTGGGTATTTTTTGTACCTTCAATAAATAGTGATCCCCAATAGAATAAACGTGGTGTCTCTCATTCCTGTGCCCTCTCTCACTGTCTCACAGCTGAGGCATTGCAGTTTATCATCTCAGCTGCTGCTGTTCAAGACAAGCTTTTCTCTACTGCACTGGTGGTTTATACACAATAGGCAATAGGTACAAACTTGCACATGCTCTGTCTTGTCTGGCATTGGTCAGAGGTAAATTAGGTGGGAAATGTCAAACCATGAAGGAAGCTGATGTGATTTTAATGCTCTGAGTCAGTTTTTCTGAGGTCTCAGACATGTAAAGATGTACGTCACTGGATTTTCTGTGTGTCATAGCAGGGCTATTTGGCACCTAGTTTCATTCTTACCTCCAGGTAAGGAGGAAACCATTTCTTTCTTGATTGAAGTAAATTCTCAAGATGTGCTGTAAGAATCAAAGCAAACATCTGCTATTGCACTCCCTCTTAACAAGCCTGGACAGGATATTGCCATGCCCACTAAACAGTATTACATCAACTCATTTTTAAACACTTTGATGCATGCACTGTCTGAAACACCCAACTGTAGCCTTCAATGCTTATGTCCTGCTCAGCAGTGATTTCTAACACTGAAAGCTCTGGCAGAGGGACTAATTGAAAAGCATCAGCCCAGACAATTTCCTACAAGAAGAAATGTCATTTCAAGATGGAGTTTGACTCCCTGGCCATAGCTGGCAGCACACAGTGGGTCATCTCTTGGCATTTGCTTTGGCAATCAGCGCAGTCTCCTAAACTCCATTTCCCACAGACACTGTCTCTGTGGAGATTTATTTTGACAGCTTGAGTTTTAGACAGCTTGTTCTGCATTTTGGCTTCAGCCAGGATGTCACATGATGTTAAAGAGCAGCTGAACTGAGTGGACATCTGCTGTCACAACAGTGACCATTACATTTACAAGCAGGCATAAACTGGGCTGAATTAAAAAGGCAGCAAAATCCCAGTCCAGTAGGGAACATAAGCACAATGACTGTGGCTAACACTGGGGGATTTATTTCCCTTAGTTCCCCCTCTTCTCCTTCCCTTTCTCTCTACCCTAATTCATCCAACTTTGCTAAGTGATTCACCACTGGACTCCCAGGTTAATACTGAACCTGCTGAGTCCACTTGGGGTTGGGATATATTTAGATAAATGGCCTCTCAAGCAGCAAATAAATATCAGCCTGAACACAGCCAGAGCATTGGCCCATGGTACTGAATACCACTCTTTGAAAGGCCATTTTCCAGACCTCTATAAGATAGGTTGGACTGGCAGGAATTCTCACGGGGAAAAAGGAAAACAACTGCAATTCTTCTTTATTGTTTTTTCTGTTAAGCAATTCATTTATTTAAAATAAGGTATTTCTAACAGAGAACCCTGGATATCATTTTGCTTCCTGCATCCCAGGACATTGGGCACTGTGCACCTTCTGGTGCACAATTTATTATTTAGGTACCTGTAAATAACACTTCACTTATTCATGAACGATTTTTTGAAGATGTGACTTATCTGCCACATACTGTAACACCCTCCCCATGGGCCATGGAGGAGGGGTGGAAGGTGACAAGGAGGGGCTCTTCCTTTCAAGCAAAGGAGGTTTTGGGCCTTAAAAGTGGTGAATCCCTTGGCACAATGTGCTTCTGCCTCTGCTGAAAGCTTTCTGTTCCCAGGCCCTGCAGCTCACACATGGGCAAACTCCAGGATGTGCTCCTGACACCCAGGAGTTTTCTGACTAACTACATCATAAATAGTTTGTCACTGTTTTACCCTGTTGTAAAGGGTAAAATAATATAATTCATTATAATAAAATTATATAATTATGGCATCATTATATATTATATAATATATTATATTTTGATTATGATATGATATATGATATATAATATAATATATAATGTAATGTATAATATAATATAATATAATATAATATAATATAATATAATATAATATAATATAATATAATATAATATAATATATATAATATATAACATAACAGGAGGGGGAGATGTTGGAATGCAACAGGCATTCCTCTGGCACAGGCCCAGAGGGAAATCCAGGCACAGGGACTGAATTGAAACCCTTGTAGAAACTGAGATATATGAAGCCACAAAGTGAAACAGAAATATAGATTTAGAGTACAGATTTTAGCTTTTAGTAGAAACTTACACTAATTGCCTTGAGCATATAAAAATACTACATATTTATATATAAAATATATACAAAAATTAATATAATATAATATAATATAATATAATATAATATAATATAATATAATATAATATAACATAATATAACATAATATAACATAATATAACATAATATAATATATTTAATATTTTGTACTGTTTTATTATTGTGAAATTGTATTTATTATTCTTGTAAAGTGTAAACATATAATACTATTATTATAATAGAAATGACAATTGTTTTATTAGGGAATATTTTCATGGCAGACCAGAGAAAGAACAAAGGCACCGGTGGCTGTGGCGTTGCTGGGTGATGGGGAAGGACACTCCCTCCCACGGCAGCTGCTGCTGCTTCTCCTGCACATCCCCAGCTCAGCTGTAGCCCTGCTGATGGGCGTCCCCTCTCTTTGGGTACATGGGAAGTGCACAAGGAATGAGTGCCTCAGTGACAGGGCTGCAGTGCTGCCACCCCCACTGCAACAGCAGCACCTTCACCAAGAAACTCCTCAGCCACCACCCCCCTAGAAGGGGATTTTCAGCTGCTGTGCTACAGACCAGCAGCCTTTCCCCTTCCCAGCCACTGACAGGTCAGAATACAGGGCAGTTGTCGAAAAATCAAATACTGCACCATGGACAAATAAGGAACATTTCAGCTAGAAAACCCAAACCATAAAAATAGATCCCCTATGCTTGTGGTTAGATGGGAGGCACTGCCAGCAATAGCATCCCCACAGGCCCATTCCTTGTGGCCCGTTCCCTGTACATGGGGGACAGAAACAGAGTATCAGTCCCCTACCAGTTCATTTTGCTGATTTGTCATGAAATAAAAGCTCCTGTTGATTGAAACATTGCAGAATCAAGCCTGTGTTTTCTGTAGGCTGAAAGCAGCACAACCCTGAGAGCCACATATAGCTCTAAGCTGCCACACTTTAAATACTTTTCTATCCTGGTCCCATAGGTTAGAGGTTAAGCAGGTTCAGGCTAATCTTGCTTTGTGCCCCAGCGTCACACACAAGGGCAGTGAGGTGCAGCCCTTTTCCCAGGCTGTAGTGAAGCACATCCACACTAGATGGCCCCAGGAGAACGCAGAACTCCTTGGAAAGCACAACTGAAACCTGCTCTGTTGGCTCAAAAGAGATCAATACATTTGGTTACTCAAAATCCCTTCTCAGAACGGCTTAGTTTTTCAAGATGACCGAAAGGCAGTCGGTACGTGACTTATGAGGGAAGCCAGAGAACAGCACTGAACATTTGTATTTATACAAAAGAAATTGACTTCCTAGAGACTCTTGTCAGAGAAACCCCCCATGGACTGGCCACAGCTACATTTCAGAGGAAAAAGGTGCCATGTTTATGCTTCCATGCTGTCAGATCCTAGTTTGGGGAGCAGGCTTCACGCTCACCATGAGCAGAGCCCACCAGACAGGGTTTGGGGGAAGATGCATGGGGCAATGGGGCACTGTGGAAATTACAGCTGAAGACTGGCCCTTACTGTGACTTTCTGCCTTGATAAAAGCCACTAAAATATAAGAGACAGAGACACACCCTGTGAAACTAAAAAAAAAAAGAAAAAAAAATTGGCCTGGTTGATTTTAACTTGCAAGGGCTTGGCAAAAGAAGTGATTTTGGCTCCATCTTCATATTCCCAACCAAATAAATATGTCTGCCAGAATCCCCTCAGCTGGAGGAGAAAT